GCCGCCGCGGAGGCGGGTCGCCTCGGGGAACTGGCGCCACCGCGCTGGTGGCTGGAAAAGGAGATGGCCAGGAGTGGCCAACATGTATTGGTTGGAGGAGGGGTGGGATGGGGGAGGGGAGACATAGGATGAGGCAGTGGATGAGAATGACGAGGAGGATCAGGAATAGCGTGCGAGATAGCAGGGGCGGGCATGGAAGAGCACGCGGTTGGCCCACATCCCCGTCGAATGCGTCTCGGGCCTTTGCTCGGGCCCGCTTCGGGCTCAGAGGGTCGATCGTGCTGGGCGGTGGGGGGGGCGGGGCGCATCGCTGCTCTTTTATGCCAGGCTGCTGCATATCACCTCTTGTAGCCGCGTCCCCACTCGTGCTGTTCCTTGCCCTCCCCTGGTTCAGACCCAGTTGTGGACGTGATTCCCGTTCCCGACTTTGCCCCGCCTTTTCCACCGCCGACGCGACGACGACGACGACGACGACGACGACGACGAAGCCGACGACGACGACGACGACGACGACGGCGACGACGGCGACGACGACGACGGCGACGACGGCGACGACGACGACGACGAAGATCGACGACGACGAAGATCGACGACGAAGATCGACGACGAAGATCGACGACGGCGACGATGGCAGCGACGACGACGAGGGGCGAGGACGACGACGACGACGCCGCCGCCGCCGCCGCCGACGACGACGACGACGACGACCACGACGACGACGACGACGACGACGACGACGACGACGACGACGACGACGACGACGACGACGGGCCAAGTGGCGAGGAGCATCTAGCATCCGATTCGCCGATGTCTTCAGAACGCCACTGGAGCGGCACTGCGAGGAGAGCAATTGCGCGTGATTTGCTGGCGGTGGGGCCGTGCCCAGGCGATGTGGGCTCAGATTGCTTGAGCTCGCCGTTCCACACTCCCCTTCCACATTCCTATTTCCCCCCGTCATCCACTCGCTTAGCGCGAACGGTAACTTGAGCTCCCCATTCCCCCTCTCAGTGCGTGGCGCGGAGAGCCCGATTCAAAGGCCCGTTGTGACATCGAGCGATGTTGATATCTCAATTGTGCGATGGTGAACGCCAGAGTCGATTGCACCGTGCCGCCATTTTTCGATTGTGACGTGTCTGCCGCGTCGCTTGATCTTATCGGGGTTTGAGGTGGCGCACCGTTGGCGAAATTGTCTCCAGCGGCATTGTCACGAGGAGGGTGATGATGAGGATCAGCAGCAGCAGCAGCAGCAGGCGCAGCGGCAACCAAGCGCCGCGCGGGATCAGGCCGTCCGCCCTTCGCCGCACCGACGCCGACGATCCGCGTGAGGGGTGGGCCGATTTGGGCGGAGCTCCTTGGCTCCCCTCCTATGGGCCCGCTGGGGTTCAGGGTGTCTGGGGGCACCTCCGCGGCCCCAGCGGGGTCAAATGGGGTGTTTTGGATAAGCCCAAGCGGGGCCCGCTGGTGGCGCCGCAGGGTTTTCAGAAGCCTCACATGGACCATGGCTTCTGATGGGCACCGATGGTTTCCAATGGATCCCATTGGGCTCTGGAGACGCCTCAAGAGGCCTCGGGGGTCGGGGGGTGGGGGAGGTGGCCTCGGGCCTTTGGGCCCCGCTGGTTCCTCAGGGCCGCCGCCCCCATCTGGCTCTGGAGGGTTTCCATGGGGCTGCATGGGGACCTCGGGGCTTCTAGGTATCCCTACTTCTCCTCCTCGGGCACCGTCGGGGGTACAGTAGCAGGTGCACATATGGCGACCATGGGGGTCGTGGTATGGGCCCTTCTTCCCCCTCGCAAGGGATGGGAAGGGCCCTTACTGCATCGTTGCATTCCCATTGGGGTGCAGCGCCCCATGGCCTGTGACCAGCGGTGCATACTGCTGCTAGCAGGACCAACCCCCCCACTCCGTTCCCTTTGTCCACCTTCGCTGGGGCGAGGGTGGACAGAGGGGGGCGCCCTTCCGCACCTTCCGTTCGGAGGGGAAGACGGGCCCCAGGAGAGCGGCCCCTCCCTTTACGGGCACTGCGCCTGAGGGGGCTGCTTTTGGGGGGAGCCTCGCCTCCCTTTCTTTTTTTTGCTGCACGCAAGTTGCGCGTTCTGACGGGCCGAATTTCGAAGGCGAGTCCGGCCGCGGCGACGACGAGGGACCTGGAGGCCAAAAATCGCCCACCTCCTCCTCCTCCTCTAATCCTCCTCGGCCCCAGCGTCTGGTCCCCGCGTGGCCTCCTCCTAACGGCGCCCTTTGGGCCCGTCTGGGCGGACCTTCGGGTCCACCACGGGGCGCTCCGCTGGGTTTCTCGGGGCCCGTGGGCTTGGGAAGTTCCATTTCACATGCCGATAGGGCCCATCGGTTCGTGGAAATGGTTCGCTGGCAGCCAGCGCACGGCCCGCTTTATTCCCATATGCCTCTCGGCAAGCCCCGCCCCCGCAAGAGAAAGTGGCGACGGTTGCGCATTTGGCGGCCGCCCAGTGGCCCCTGGCCCTTGGCTGGCTGGTTTGCTGGTTGGTTGGCTGGACGGGCTTTCGGGTTCAGGGGGCGCGCGGGTGCGCTCGCACTTCTCATGCGCTGATTGGCTCGCCGCCGCAGTCGGCGCCCTTGCCGCTGGCGCCGCCGCCGATGAATATATGCTTTTCGGCAGTGACATATCGCCTGCCCCCTCCGCCTGCGCGCCGCGTTTGGCTGACTGGCTGGCTGGGTGGTCTCCAACCGCGGTTGGCTGATTGGTTGCGTTGGTTGGTTGGCTGGTTCGCGCCGCAGGTTGGCTGTTTGGTTGTATGGCCGATTGCTTCTGCTAAGGCTCATAAGCGCATATAACCGCGCAGGCAAGTAGTGTGTGTATATGCGCAGGTACACGCACGCACTCATATTAACACATAAATGTAAACACGCCCGCGTACATTTGCGTATAAGCGTGTATGTTTATATACGTTACATGATATACATACGCATATCATGTACATGTTCACGTGATATATACGCATAATGCTTCTAATATTGCCGACCGCTCAGGTGCCATGGTCGAAATGCCACCCTTGCCGCCGAGCGGCCAGGGGCGGAATGCCGCGGCGCAACTGCGCGCTTCCGAAGTTGCGAATCGCAGCTCCTCGCTCCGCCTCCAGCGAGTTCTGCGGCGTTGTCGATGGGCGCGCGCGCCGATGGGCCGCGGCGGCGCGGCTGGGTTTGGCCGCGGGGCAGAGCCGTTGCCAGTTGTCGCCCGACAGGGCACGGGTTGCCCAGTCGTTTGCGCGCTGCCCTCTCTTGTCAAGCCGCGCGCGCCAGCGCGTCGTTCGCCCGCGCGGCGCGCGACGCCGTCGGGGCAGCGGCCCCGTTCAGCCGCGCCTGGGCGAAGGACTTAAATCTGTGCCCCGTTGCTTGCCGCCAGGGTTTCCCGCGCGAGCCCGTCGGCCAGCGCACTGCGCGGCGCGCCGCAGCCAGGGCGCGCGGGGCCGCCATGATACGAGGCCGTCGCGGGCAATGTCGGCGGGCGCGCCGCACGTTGCGAGCCCGCAGCCTACGCCGCGCAGCCCCTGGACCATCGTTCCGCATGGGGCGCGCGGCGAGCGGTGTCGGCTTGGGCGCGGCGCCGCTGGGCTGCCACGGCGCGCGGGCGCACGAGTGTGGCCGCTCGCCAGTGCGCAGGTATTTGCTCGCTGTCCCGTAAGTGCCAGCGCGCCGCTAAGCCGCGCCGTCATCGATCGCCATTCCTCGCGCGCTTCTCCCTTATGTAGGTTCCCCGCGCGGCCATCGTCTGCCCGAGACTTCGCCGCGTCGCGCGAGCAGACGCGACGTCGCGGCCTCGGGGGCCGCCGTTCGTGCCACGGAACCAGACAGACGTCGCCGACGTAGCGTGAAACATGCAATTCCCAAAACACCGACACTAAACAAATAGTATGTTTCCGAGGGCTATGCCAACTCAGTGAAAAAGCATTTTTGTAGTATTTTCATAGATATAGCATTTCCATGCCGGTAGGGGGACGCAAACGTCTCGGCCCTAGTCTTGATCACCAGGACGAATTTCGAGCATCAAAAAAGTACCGAAACTCGCATGCGTTCACGTGCCGGACCCTGGGAGACATTCGCCCAGCATTGTTTCGACACTGATTCGACACTCTTCCGTGTGCTCGAAATTATTTCTGGGATGCGGTCCTGAAGTGCGATAAGAGCAACGTAAACCTGGCGACGGATGAGGCGGGAGGAGAGGGGGGGGGCGAGAACCCCCCCTTGCGGGGAAGTGCTGTGAGGAGAGAGCGTTAAGCCGGGCTTGTCCATCTACAAACATAGTCAAAACATCGTTTGGGGACGATGTGTTGATTATTTTTTGATATTTGGGGGGTATGTTTCCATTGTCCGTCCAAACATTCCCCTGTAGTGGGGCATGCCCGACCTAAGGAGAGCGTCCTTCCGCGCAAAGATGCGGCGGGGAGAAGAAAGGAGAGGGGAGGGGATCACTTTGCCTACGCGCCTGCAGATATAACTCTCTCTGCCCTCGTGGGCTCCCCGCTTGTTTCGTTTCTCTTCGCATTTCCGATTTCGCATATTTCTGCAGCTCGGCAGGTGTACTGTTTCTTTGCATTGCCTTGCGATTGTTCGTAGATGCCACAATCGTATGCTCACCGTCCGCTCAACGTCAAAAAGGGGAGGGAATTGGGAGAGATAAGAGAGTTGGGGCAAGTGGGGGGAGCGGAGGATGGCGGCCTCCGTTGGATTTTACCTCCGCGTGCGGTTCACGGGAGGTGCGCTTGATCAACCGTGTGCGGTTGCTTCGGGGGCGGCCAAGAGGGAGGGGGATGATTAGGGGGGGATTTCGCGGTCTAGGCCAGGACATTTGCTCAGATTTCATGGCGACGCCTCTTGTTTCAATAGAAGTTTCCTGGCCCCCCCCCCGTGGGCCGCGCACATGCCTCGGGCCATGATTTGCGTCCCCCATGTTCCTCTTGGACACCCCCGTCTTGGACGCTCCCGATTGTTCCGAGGCTCTGACGCATTGCGATTCCCCTCTGCAGGAACTGAAGCGGCTGCGGCAAGACGTTGAGGCCCTGCACAACACGAAGGACGCACTCGGTTGAGGGAGGAGGCTCACCTCACGGGGTTTCAAGGGTGTTTTTGGCATTATGATGGGTCGTAGCCCGGGCTACCGGGAGAGAAGAGGAGGAAATCGAAAGGAGATAATGGAGTGGACGACAGGGGATGACAGCGGATGGAAGGGCCTTGGAAGTCAGACATTCGTTCATTCGCGTTTTCGGCTCTCAGTGTGGACGAGGTATCGGCACGTCGTTTTCCTCTTCCTCCCCCTGTTCTTCATATTTGAGCGAGAACAAGAGGGCCCCTAACCCTAATCACACGATGAAGACGTGGCCTCACTAAGGTCCCCGTCTTCGCATTAGGGATACGAAATCTGGGCGGCTTGGCTTGGCACATCTGCAGAACAGACCCCCTATTCCTAATGTTCCTGCCCTCCTAACTTAGGTCGCCTCCCAGAGGGTTGGGGGTCTGTTCATGCCTGATCAGTATTCCTCCTTCGTCCAGTGTCAGTCTTATTTCCGACCTCTCCCAGCGAGTTCACCCTCCCCCCTTGACCAGTCGTGCCGGTTTCCTTGCATCGCCAGTCCGCTGATGCTGCTCACGCCCGTGGCCTGTCTGGAGACCTTTTTTGGTGGGGGGTGGGCCTGTGATCGCCCGGGTCAGCGGGCCCGCTCTCCCACCCCACCACCCCAAAATCCCTGGATCGTTTGACCTCATCGGTTGCGCAAGGCCGATGGGGGGGGGCGCAGTACTGGCGCGCGCAAGCAGGGGTGGGACCGTCCACAGCGAACAAGGTTATTTTGTCGGCCGACATCCCCCCGCCCCCCCGCCCCCACACCAGATAGCTTAGGTTATCGGCAAGAAATAAGTCACCGAGCGCGTTCCACTGTTCGCACAGTGCCTATTCGCAAACGCCCTAAAAAAAGTGTTCACCTCGAGATCCTGGATCGTAACTCCCCCGCGGCGGATCCAGGCCATTTGCGAGTAGCTACTCTACGAGTCATGGAACGCGCTTGTCTATAAAGAACGTTCTGGTCTACAATCTTCCCCTCAGCCGCAGTCTCATGTTGCCGGTCGGTGCCGCGCCCGAGCCTGGCGGCGTGGCGCAGGCCTCGGAGCCCCCCCCGGGCGCCCGAGGCGCCGCCAGAGCGTTGCCCCATTCCTCCTCAAGCAGCCCGCGGGCCCCGAAGCGCTGCTTGACCACGGGGCGGTGTGATCACTGCACCACTTTAAGGGACGAAGGCCGACATAACATGCACGCTTCCACCGTCGGGGGCGCCTGCCCCCCGGGCGGCTGCAAAGTTAACACCCCTGCGGTGCCACGTATGATGCTCCTCCTCCTCCTCCTCCTCTTCTTCTTCCTCCTCCTCCTCCTCCTCCTCTTCGTCCACCTCCTCCTCCTCCTCCTCCTCCTCCTCGTTCTCCACCTCATTCCCCCTTCCAACTTATGATAGTGGTGGTGGAAAACAGGCCCATCAATGTAGGGGTGTACACACTTTCCATCCGCCCAGGGGCAGGCGTCCTCGACGGCGGAAGATTTAATTGTATACCGCTCGTTTCGCCCTCTAACTATTGTTGATGGGCCTGTTCCCCATCACCACCACCTCCATAAGTTGGATGGGGGGAACGAGGAGGCGGAGGAGGAGGAGGAGGAGGAGGAGGAGGAGGAGGAGGAGGGGGGAGTAGAAGGAGGAGAACTGGACTGGACACTTCGCACGGTCTAGACAGCACAAGCCAGCGTAGGAGAGAGAGAAAGAGAGAGAGAGAGAGAGAAAGCACAACGAGAGAGAGAGAGAGAGAAAGAGCAAGAGATAGAGAGAGAGAGAGAGAAAACAAGCAGAGCGATACATACATACATACATACATACATACATACATACATACATACATACATACATACATACATACATACATACATACATACATATATATATATATATATATATATAGAGAGAGAACCCTCTAACGGAGGGAGGGGCAGCATCCACGGGCATGCCCACACAAATTTGCGCTCCCCTACGCGGGGAGCACTGCCGTCCCTGCGGCTCCACATGCTTGCGCGCGCGGCCCGCTGAGGAAAGGAGGGGAACCTCAGAGAAAGAACATGTACCCATACCGCTACCCTTCGCCTGTTTTCCCTTCTTTGGGCCTCCCGGAAGGTCCACGCCGCCACCGCTGGATTCGCCTCGAAATCCCAGTCAGAACGCACCCCAGGAGAGGTCCAGGGAGTAGCGGTATCGTTCGGCCGCCCGCCCCTGCACGGAGCCTTCTTCATCCCTTGCCCTTCAGGGCCGTCTTGATTTCCGCCTCCATGAGCGTCCTGGCCTCCAGGCCGTCGCCAACGGCGTTTTTGACCTCGTCGACTTCGTCATCGATGTTGTATTTCACCTGCGCGAGCTCACGCTTCAGCTCGCGAAGTCCCGCTTGAGCTCGAGCTTGGCCTGCTGCGAGCCGAATGGGTGAGTGAGCTCTTGCTCGAATTCCTCCGTCGTCAGCTCCAGCTCCCGCGCGAAGTCCTTTTTCGATTTGCTGCCAAGGAGCCGCAGTTGCTGCAAGTATAAGCTCGACAAGTGCCGATGAGAACCTTCCGGGGATTTTCCGTAGCCGGCTGCACCAATGCGGAGTTGGTCGTTGTCCGTGATGGTGGCGCAGTCTTTGCTCGTGCAATTGCTGATCCCGTCACATCCGCCCCCGATGAAGAAACGCTGAGTTCAGGCGTCCTACTTCTCGTGGTTGACCTCGGCGTCATGTTGCTTTGAGGAGGGGTCCATCTTCTTCACCTCGGTGCACTCATCCGTAATTACGCCATGCTTCTGGTCCAACTCCAAAGGCTTTGTGCGAGGCGCGGTGTCTCGCCTTCCTGTAGGTGCCGCTGATGTTTGCTCGCTTGCCCTTCGTTCCAGCCTACACTCAGCTGTGCATGATTAACTTGATCGCCTCCGTCCGCTCCTCAGTCTCGACCTTTCTGTCGGTCTCGGTGGCGACCCTGATGCACGCAGCCGCCGCCCCTGCGGCTACCACGCGAGGTGCCCCGGCAACGCCTCTCATAACGAATTCAGCGAACAGCGTAAGCTCCGCGCTGGCGAGCCCCATGCCAGAATGCCACACGCGGAGGGCGGCGGGCAGGGTGTGGATTGCAATCTTGAGCCAAAATTGCTGCGGGAGTGGACGGAGGAGGAGCAGGAGGAGGAGCAAGAGGAGGAGGAGGGGGAGGGGGAGGGGGCGGGAGGAGGAGCTTAACCCACTCTGTCCCATTAGCTGACTGGGGGGGGGGGCTAGGGCTCAGCATACGCTCCGTCGGGCGAGAATTATCGATGGGATCTGCCTGCCACATTCTGTGTACCGTGTGGGGGTTTCGCATCCTCGAAATTCGGAGGCAAGCTCCTGCTTCTTTGCCTGAAGCCCACAAAGGAGCTCTGAGAGATCCAAGCTACTCACTCGGAGGTCTCGGTCCAGTGCCGGAACCCAAGCTGGGCCATTCCTTTCACCTGTCCCTTCCATTCCCTCTTTCCCCTTCCTGATGGTCCTGTTCTCCACCACAACCACCACCAGAAGTTGGAGGGGGGAAGGAGGTTGAGGAGGAGGAGGAGGAGGAGGACGAGGAGAAGAAGGAGAAAGAGGTGGAGGAGGAGGAGGTGGAGGAGGTGGAGGAGGAGGATGGCCCCCTCCTCCTGCAATGTATGGTGGTGGTGGTGGTGGTGGTGGTGGTGGTGGTGGTGGTGGTGGTGGTGGTGGTGGTGGAAAACAGGCCCATCACTCCCGCCCCCCCGCCTCTGCCTTCCCCGTCCGACTGATCCTTTTTTGTGATCCACCCTCATTTATGTGGTGGTGCGTCTTTTGCTCTTTTGCTCATGGAGTGACCAGGCGCGCCTCAGGTCACCGAGGTTGCCAAGGCGGGAGGAGGAAGGAGGAGGAGGAAGGAGGAGGAGGAGGAGGAGGAGGAGGAGGAGGAGAAGGAGAAGGAGGAGGAGGAGGAGGAGGGCGAGGGGAGGGGGGGAAGGACAAGGAGGAGGAGCAGGCGGGGGAGGAGGAAGAGAAGGAGGAGGAGGGGGGAGGGGGCAGGGGCAGGAGCAGGGGCAGGGGCAGGGGAACGGGGAGGCAGCAGAGGCGCCCCCCCCCTCCTGTCCGTGCCCCCCCCCCCTGCTCGCGGCGGGGGTGGGGCCGCTCCCCGCTCAGGAGCAGCTCCGCGAGCAACTCCAGCTCCAGGACCGCGAGCGCCAGGAGCTGCAGGACAGCGCCCCCCCCTCGCTGCCACGCCCATGCGGATCCTGATTTTCTCGACGCACGCAGCGCCGATGGCATCGGCGATGAACTCGAGATGCGGCGCGATCCTCCGACCCCACCTGCTCGGGCCCCATCCGGGAGGCCTGCGGCAGAGCGAGGTGGGGGGCCCTCGGATCCTGGCTTCTCCATTGTTTCGAGCCGGGCGGTTTCGCGGGGCCCCGAGGCCCGGGGGACCCTCACAGAGCGACGCGGCTCGAAACATGACGCAGAAAGGTTGGGTCCGGGGCTCCGTCCGTGGTGTTTCAGGAGGTTACGCTTTGTATATATATATATGTGTATATAAAATGTGTGTGTGTGTGTGTCGCTACGTCGGGTCTCAGGGGGGAGGAATCGATGCATCCACCCATATGTTTGGAAAAAAACACAACGATTTGAGCATAGTCGCACACATGTTCCCCAAAGCTCGGTTACTGAAGTACGCTCGGTTCATGCGGCGTTGGCGCGTTGGCGATGCCGGTGAAGGCATTCAAGGTTGAATTCTGCGATGCGGACACACCGAGGGACACGGTAATGCCACTGGACCCGACGGAATTCAATTTTAAACAATCTAAGCCGCGATTGACTCAAGGCTGAACGATCGACATGGTGTCGGGGAGGGAGGGAGTGAGGGTGGGAGGCAGGGAGGAAAGGTGGGAGGGAGGGAGGAAGGGAGGGAGGGAGGGATGATGATGAGGAGGAGGAGGAGCAGGAGGAGGAGGAGAAGGAGGAGGAAGAGGAGGAGGTGGAGGAGGAGGAGAGGAGAAGAGGAAGGAGGTGGAGGGGGAGGAGGAGGTGGAGGAGGAGGAGTGGAGGAGGAAGTGGAGGAGAAGGAGGATGAGGTGCAGGAGGAGGAGGTGGAGGAGGAGGAGGAGGAAGAGGAGGTGGATGAGGTGCAGGAGGTTCAGGTTCAGGTGGAGGAGGAGGAGGAGGTGGAGGAGGAGGAGGAGGAGGAGTAGGAGGAGGTGCAGGAGGAGAGAAGGAGGAGGAGGTTGAGGAGGAGGAGGAGTTGGAGGTGAGGAGGAGGAGGAGGAGGAGGAGGAGGAGGAGGAGGAGGCCTCCCTCCCTCAGTTGCGCGCGCCGGCACCGCACGAACCTGCCGCAGCTGGGCGGGTCCGATGCTCGACGGTGGCGCCCCGTGCCCGCCCGTGGGCGGCGCCTCGTGGGCGGGCCGTGCCCTGCGAGGGTAAGCGTCCCGTGCACAGCACGGCCGACACTGCCCAGCTTGCCCCGCACGGCTGGCACAGCACTCAAGCAGTGGCGAAGCGTCCTGGCTCGACTGTAGCCCTGCCAGACAATGTTCTAAGAACTTGTTGTGGTTTCCACGAAATGTTCTTAGAACATTTCTGGCGGAGTCTGTCTTGTTTCAACACATCGGGCTTATGTTCTAAGAACATTGTCTTCATTATTAGACATTTGTGGGTTCTAAGAACATTTCGTGGTAGGACGATAGAAATGCCAGGACGGTCGGTCCCTGCTAAAACAGCACAGCCGACGCTGCCCAGCTTGCACCGCACGGCCTGCACAGCACAGAGAACACGAAGTCGGGCCTGTCCCTCTGCAGGGGGAACATTCAAACATAGTCAGAACAGAGTCTGGGGACGACTGTTGTTGAGTATTATACCTCTTATCCCTTATACAAGCATGTCGTCCAATATCTCCCTGTAGGGGAACATGCCCGACCTAATGATAACATCTCATTGTGTAGCCCACGTAGTTTACACAACATTGCTAATGCCACTTATAGCACCCCGCATACAGTTCACCTCCACAGTTCAAACATTCACTGGGTGGGGCCTGCTGTGTGGATCGCTTACACAGCATAAATAACACCACATTGCATGGCGCCAGCATCGCAGAGCAGATCTCGTTCGGAAAACGATTGGATGCTCCCGGAGCGTCCTGGAGAATTCCGTTCCGGATGTCGAGGTGAATTTCGTGCGGATGTTTCATCGGTCGGGAGTGAGGACCGAAAGCAAATCCACGCGAAATTCATTTCGTTTCTCGCACGCCATTTCGGGGTTTTTGCATTGACAGAAATCCACGCAGAAGTCCGCTGCAGCATGTTTGCAAGGCTGGTGCAATGACACATTGGGTAGCCCACGTTGTTTACACAACATTGCTAACACCCCATATATCACCCTGCATATAGTTCACCTCCGCGGTGCAATAACTCACTGTGTGGGGCCTACTGTGGAGAATATGTAGATGGGCAACAACTGAGAGCGAGAGAGAGAGAGAGAGCGAGATAACGAGAGAGAGAGAGAGAATGAGGAATAGAGATGCGACCCACCCCGCGACCCATCTGCGACCCACCCCGCGACCCACCCCGCGACCCACCCCGCGACCCAGCCCGCGACCCACCCCGCGACCCACCCGCGACCCACTCGCGACCCACCCCGTCACCCACCCGCGACGCACCCGCGACCCACCCCGCGACCCACCCCGCGACCCACCCCGCGACCCGCCCCGCGACCCACCCCGTGACCCCCCCCCTCGACCCACCCCGTAACCCACCCCGCGACCTAACCCGCGACGCCACCCGCGACCCACGCCGCGACCCACCCGCGACAAACGCCGCGACCCACCCGCGACCCACCCGCGACTCTTGCGCGACCCACCCGCGACCCGGCCCGCGACCCACCCCGTGATCCACCCACAATGCTTTAACGAAAAAATCGGCGCCTGCGGCGGGCTCCAAGCATGCTTTGTAAAGATTAGGCGCCTGCGGCGGGCTTCTCTAGAGCCTCGCAGTCGAGGACGGCCTCGCAGCCACCTCACTCCGATCAGCAACTGCGGGGGGTTACGTATACTTATATATATATATACATATATATATGTGTGTGTATATGTATACACAGCGAGAGAGGGAGAGAGAGAGAGAGAGAGGGAGGGCGGCAGCTGTTACCAGTGGGCCCACCCGCAGCGCAAAGGTCGCACATGAGCAGGGCCAGGAGAGAGAGAGAGAGAGAGAGAGAGAGAGAGAGAGAGAAAGAGAGAGAGAGAGAGGGCGGAGTAGAGGTAGGAGGAATAGGAGTGGATGAGAGAGGGAGAGGGGAAGGAGCAGGAGGAGGAAGAGGTGGCATCGGACCAGAGTAAACACAAAGTGCACCAGCGAGGCTGCAGCGCACCCTCTCGTTAGCAATCCCTTCATCAGAAGCCCAGACACGCCTTCCTTCTCGCTGTGGAGCACCCCGCACGCACAGACAGGCAGGCATGCAGGCAGGCAGGCAGTGACACAGACACACACACACACACAGACACACAGACACACAGACACACACAGACACACACACATACACACACACACGTACGCTTTCAAGTCGAGAGGGGGACCATGCGCCTGCTATGTGAGCGCGAGCACCGTTTTGCAACTGAGCCCCATCTTGCATCCGTCTAGCTGTCAAAGTTGCCGCCAGGTAGGGTCATTGAGTTGATAGGCGTGTCAAGCCGCAGCTACGATTGAAGAACATGCTCGCACGCCAGCTCTTCGCTTGAGAGAAGCATTGAAACGTAGCAAGCGAGCCCCCCACTTACAAAAAGGAGCCGCCTTCTATCAGTGTAACTGGTGCGCATGTGTGATATACGCGCCCAGTCCATCCTTACACCATCCAGAGGCGTTTATACGAACGTGAGCGGCGCTTTGGCGAGAGCCACATGTTCAAAACCACCTGCCGAGAGGAGCTCGGCAGTGACAGCAGCGGCCTTCCCCGCCCTGACCTTGCAGCACACGTCGGAGCCATCACCCAGGTAATCCAGCGTACACTCGATAACGACTGTAGGCCAACTTCGTTGTTAACTGCAGCCTTCTTCATACGGCTGGATGGCGAGATGTTGCGCGGTTGGCGCTCCAGATATCGAACGGAACGCTGATTGCTTAGGGTCAAGATCGGCCGATGTTGGCCAGGTGTCCAGCCAGCGTCGGGGATCATCACACACGGGTCAGGATGAAGCCAGCCCCAGCGGAAGGAGTCGAGAGGCGTTTGGGCCAGCGAGGCAAGAACACAGCTCGAGCTGCGGGACGTAATCGGCCCGCCAGCTTGTCAAGGCGGTGGCGCATTTCCAACAACAGAATGTGCCGTGGGCGGCTGCTATGGTTAAGTCGGGCACGTCTCTCTACAGGGGGGGTATTCAAAAAATAGTAAACAATAGTCGGGGGGGGTCATTTTTCGAGTATGTTTGATCAGTTTGGAATGTCTGTTGGGTATACTTAATTTTTCGCCCACAATCCCCCTGTAAGGGGACACGCCCGAGCTAATGCTGTGGACGGTCTTCCCCCTGATCTCAACATATGATTCGAGCGATCTTTCATCCCTGGTCACCACGACGATCGGCGTAGGTCGGCCCAGTACAGACAGCACGCTGAAGCCACTCACTCCATCACGCTGTGCTTGCGAGGTGCCTTGCAGCATCTGGAGCACACCCACCTGCCCCCCACCCCCAGGTGATTGAGGCAGTGGCCTGAACTCTTGTTCCAGTTGTTGCCGCCGTAGATTGCCGACATTAGGCAGCGAGGCATTCTAATAACCGAAGGCATTCGGATAATCAAGCGAATCAGGTGGAAGATGAGGGGGAGGAGGGTTTGGATAAAGCCGAGAAGCCGGCTGGAGAGATCAGGGAGCACAGATTTTGAGAAAGAGGAGGAGGATGCGTGAGTTTGGAATGGGGGCATCTATATTTGACGGTATGTATACACACGGGGTGAGAGAGACAGAGGCTAACAGACATAACGAGAGTGACGGGGAAAGAGGGAGGGAGAGAGAAAGAGAGAGAGAGAGAGAAGGAGAGAGAGAGAGAGAGAGAAAATGAGAAATAAACTATGAAGTTATCATTGCCGTAGCCGGTGGCTAAGACTGTGGGAAGTACGATGGGCCAATGCCTCTGCACGTGTTTTGTTGGCAGGGTCTGTGCCTGCCTGCGCGCGCGTCAGAGGACAACTTCTTGTACGTGAAGAACCAGCTGGACAAGGTCCAGCTGAAGCAGGTGTTTGTTACTATATTTACCTTGCGGAAGGGGAGGAGGAGGAGGAGGAGGAGGAGGAGGAGGAGGAGGAGGAGGAGGACCAGCAGCAGCAGCAGCAGCAGCAGCAGCGGAGGGGAACAGGAGGGGGAGGAGGAGGGAGATTGAGAGAAGGGAGGGGGAGGGGGGGGGCCCCCCGGCAGGACCCAATAATCAAGACATGGCGAGGCCCGCACGAGGGGGGCGGGTCCTAGAGGGTAGGAGGAGGAGCAGGAGCAGGAGGAGGAGGGGGAGGAGGAGGGAGGAGGAGGAGGAGGAGGAGGAGGAGGGGGAGGAGGAGGAGGAGGAGGAGGAGGAGGAGGAGGGGGATGATGATGATGAGGAGGAGGAGGAGGCAGAGGAGGAGGAGGCAGAGGAGAAGGGCCAGGAGTAGGAGGAGGAGGAGGAGGAGGAGAAGGAGGAGGAGGAGGAGGAGAAGGAGGAGGAGGAGGAGAATGAGGAGGAGGAGGAGGAGGAGGAGGAGGAGGAGGGGGAGGGCACAGCCGGGCTCTGCACTCTGGCCTTCAGGCCGTCTGCTTGCGGGGCTGCTGGCGGTCCGCTTCAGAGGCGGGAGGCCGCCGGACAGGAGACCCCGCGATGGCGGACGTTTTTTTTGGATTCGGAGCGACCAAGATGGCTCAAGAAGCGCCCACTATCGCCCCGATAATAGTTCCCAGCTCTGGCGCAGGCTGCCCAAGGGGAGCTCCGAAATGGCCCAAGAGGGCCCTAGGACGGCCCGAGAGGGCGCCAGGAGGGCACCCACGCAGCCATAAGAAGCTGCCAAGACGGCCTCGAGGGGCCCCAGACGGCACGAAAGGAGGCCAAGTCATCCCAAGGGGCCTAAGACGGTCCGAGGGAGCCCCAGGGTGCCATCAAGGGGGCCCCCCCGACGAGCCCCAAGACGGCCCTGAGACGGCTCAAGATGACCATTTGAATTCAACCACAGTCGAGTGAGTTTGTCATCGATGACCTGTAACATGTGCGATGCGTTTGCACAAGAGTAAGCCGAGGGTCCCACATATCTCACAAATAATCCAAGTCCCGATGCATTCATGAACGTGTTGTGAGATTTTGTTTTTCTGTTTCATCGCGTCGGCCGGAGTTCCTCCAGCGCGTCCATGTGGGAGGCCACAAAGCGCGCACAGCGATGCCATCGACACCATCCTGTTTTAGATTACCATAGCACGGTCCATCGTTTCCGCGATCTGTGGTGACGCGTAGTTCAGCGATGACTTGAGCGCGCGTGCGAAGCGCGCGCGAAGATGGTTGCTAATAGCTCGCAAGATCATGCTGTGTTCTGCCTGATGTAATTGTACCGTGTCTTTGCAGCGACTGTGCCGATACTGGATTTATAGATGTCTCTGCTTCCAGCAGAGAGACTCCTGGAGGCTTGCATGTAAACTTACACTGCCTCTTCGGAACGTGATCCGCGGGGGGAAGTGGGGGCCGTACAATATGTTGGACCCCTTTGGGAACCGTGGACAGCGAATTTGGATAGACCGACTTGTAGAGGCAGGGGAACGCGTACCCTATGAGGAGAGGTCAGTGACTATCAGGAAGGGGAGAAGGACGACGGGATGGGTGGAGGCTGGAGGAGACACGGAAGTGGAATGGGGGGAGGTGAGAGGCGGAGGCCGGCACTTTCTTCGGCGGGGCGGTGGATGGATCTCGCAGAGGGCAGCCCCGCTAAAGCCGCAGCGTGCCGGGCTCGGTCGGGCTCATGGCCCACAGCGCGTCCGATGCCTTTCCCGAGGGGGGACGTGAAATGGCACGGGATGGAGCAGGGGGCGGAGACGAGACAGGAAGGTCGCGTGCGTGTTTCTGTCCGTCTGTCTGTCTGTCTGTCTGTCTGTCTGTCCTGTCCTGTCTGTCTGTCTGTCTGTCCTGTCTGTCTGTCTGTCTGTCTGTCGGTCTGTCTGTTTGTCTGTCTGTCTGTCTGTCTGTCCTGTCTGTCCTGTCTGTCCTGTCTGTCTGTCTGTCTGATTGTCCGTCTGTCTTATTGTCTGTCTGTCTGTCCGTCTTATTGTCTGTCTGTCTGTCTGATTGTCTGTCTGTCTGTCTGTCTGTCTGTCTGTGTGTTGTATGTGTTTGCAGGGTAGGGAGAATGGGGGGAGGGGAGGGGGGGGAAGCGGGAGGTGATTTCCTTCCTTAGTTCGGGGGGAGGCGGTGGGGATACAGGGGAGGCGGCGGCGGCGGTGCTCGACTGATCCACGTGTCTGCATGCGTGAAGCCCGAGAGAGCAGCGGCACAGCACAAGGATCACGAGTGCGCTATCTGTTATGTAGCGGTGCATTCGCACGGTGGGGGGGCCTTCCAGTGCGCCTCGCGAGCCCAGAACGGAGATATCCCTGAGGCGAGGCCACAGCCCTTAGCCCTCACAATAGACGGCGGCCACGATCCACTCTGTTGAACCGCAGGCAAGCCAACAAAATCTTGGAATTGAAAAGACAGCGAGCTTGTCTTGAACAGCGAAACCATTAAAATTACAGGTTCCATGGGCGTCGACCAGCGGAATGGTTACTGTCGGCACTCTGGGACCCTTGACTGAGTCGGTAAATCGCTGCGTCTAGATGCGAGGAGGAGGTCAAGCGGGGACGACGGGCAGGGGTTGATGGGTGGGAGTGGGAGGGCATGGATCGCTCCTATGCGAGTCGTGCTGGATACTTTCCAGTCCGCAGACAGGTTGGAGAGGAGGGACGCGAGACATTGCTGGCATACCACGTGTGAACATTGTGCCCCGCTCTAGCGTTTGCAATGTCTGCGCTCAGCGTGTCCGCATGCCCCACCATTCTTTTTTATAATAGGCATTTACAAAGACAGTACGTCGTGCAGCGAGCAGCCTGTGTCCTGATGCCTCTGCTGCTTTCCCCCGTTGCCAATTTGCGCTTTCGTAGCCCAGCTTCCGCTTCTATCGCGCTGAGTGACCGCCAGCGCTGCGACAAAAGGGTTGGTGGCCACACCTGCTCTCAGCCCGAGCGGCATTGGGAAAGCGAGGTCGAGGCCGACCGCGGTCGGAGGGGCGGCGGGGCCTGACCGTATCCACAGCCCGCCCCCCAAGTGGTGCTGACGATCGACGCGATGGGGAGCTGATGTACTCATCGGCATCGGGCCCATCCCCCAAGTCTGCGACGCTCTGCAGCAGCAGGCTTACGCAGCACGGTGTGGAGGGGCGTATGCTGCGGGTCTCCGTCCGTCCACCTGGACCCTGTCCGCATGCTAGACCCTCGGATGTCGGATCTGGCGTTTCGGACAACAGGCAACATCCCCCAAAATCACGACCAGCTCCAGAGACCGACTCGCTCTGCGGCATGCTTCCGAACCAGATCGATCTGTGGGAGTCCCGGGGCCCGAACCAATGTGACATCGCCTGCTTTGACACAGTTGCGACGCCAGGGTCTCAGGTGATCGTTTTTGTTATTCATTGTTTTGCCGATCGGCGCCGTCCCTTGCACGCCCCCCCTCCTCCCCCCTGGAGCAGATCGTGGCGGTTTGGGGTGCCTGTTTCGAGCAGGTGGAGTCTCCCACCATAGGACGCACTGCTGCAAACAGTCGCACTCCCCCTTGCCGCCCAAAGTCGAAACGCCGAGTAAAAAAAGCTCACCAGGAGACACGACTGGTGAGCACGGGGCCGCGGCCCACCGCCGCCAGTGCGCGCCGCAGCGCGCGAGGCGGACGCCGCGGAGGACCTCGCCGAGGGCTGCCCGAGGGAGCTCGCCAAGCACCACGCCGCGGTGCGCCGCGCCGGCGAGGATCGGATGCCGGGGCTACGGGGACCGAGCTCGCTGGGCGCAATTCGAGCGCCGCGTGATGGGGGGCGATAGTCCTCCTCCTCCTCCTCCTCCTCCTCCTCCTCCTCCTCCTCCTCATCCTCATCATCATCATCATCATCATCATCATCATCATCATCATCCTTTTTCTCCTCCTCCTCCCCCTCCTGCTCTGCTCCTTCTCCTCCTCCTCCGCCTCCTCCTCGTCGTCGGGGCGGGACCGAGCGCGCCGTGCGCCATTCGAGCGCCACGTGATGGGGGGCGATAAGCAGGTCTCGTTTCGATTCGATTCGGTTTCGATGGCCTCCGATTCCGATTCGATTCGACTTGTGATTCCGATTTGGGTTCCGATTTCTCGGTGGACGCATGCTAGCCTGCCGATTTCTGCCGATTCGACTTTTCCCGACTCGGCTGCCGATTTCTGTTGATCCGAGTCATTTCGATCGCCGATCCGACTTATCGATTCGATTCTGGGCTCTCCTGTAAGTCGGGGCGGGATCGAGCTTCGAGGTTTTCGGGCGCCCCCTCCCCTCCAGAGAGCAGGTGTGGTCGATGTCTCGGGCGTCTTCGGGGTCTCCAGAATCGGCCAGGGTCGCCACGTGAGCGGCGGAATAATCAACGGGGTCGACTGCGCGGGCATTGGCATTGCCTGAGGTTTTCGGGCGCCCTTCCCCCTCGCCTCCTCTGACGTTCGGGAAGCTTCAACCGTCGGACTCCAGCGTTCTTCGGGTGACGAAAGAATACGTGACTCCGAGTGAGTGCACGGCGGGTGCGAACTGTGGCAGCGAGCAGTGCGGAAAAAGGAGCTGCAGAGACGGGTGGCGACAGCGGAGCGGCCCGCGACACACTCCCCCCCGCCTCCTCCCCCTCGCCTCCCCCCCAGACTCACCGGGAGCCTCGACGGCGGCGCCGCCCCCCCGCGGTCCCCACGGCGAGCCGGGGCCCGCGCCACGGGCTGGAGCACGCCACGCTCTCGCGCAGGCAGCAGCCAAGAGAGGCGCCAAGCCCTATCTCGAGGCCAGGGGGTGACACCTGAGGCGTTCCAGATCGAGGATCGAGGATCGAAGGAATCGAAGATCGAAGGAATTGTCATGTCTTGCCTTCGAGGATCGAGGATCGAGGATCGAGGATCGAGATCAAAGGGCCTTGCCTTCGAGGATCGAAGGAATTGTCATCCCTTCCTCGGCGGAAGGGCGGCGGAGGGTCGGCGGAAGTGAAGCCAGGCCGCCTTTCCGCCAGCAGAAGCTCGCGGAGAGGCGGCGGTCGTGGTGGCGTCTGAGGTCATCGCTCGACATCAGCGAGCGCCCCGAGCGCAGCTGCGTGGCCGATCCTCCTCACCACCAACCATCGGAAGCCGGGCAAGGGCTGCTAAATCCGTGGCTGCTAAAATCGACCTCCGGGAAGTTGTCTTCGTCCTTCCGGGAAACAGCCCGTTGATTGTTTCGCGTGCCGCGCCTCATTCCGGGAAGTTGTTTTTTCCTTCCGGGAGGGCCGTTTTAGCGGCCACGCTTTTAGCAGCCCTCGCCCAGCTTCCGAAACCATGCTACTGGCAGTACGTACCGATCTCGAGAAGGCGTTCGACATTTCTGAACCGCCACGACATATGGACAGGCCTGGACGATTTTCAAGTACGGTGGGACGCCAGGATGACCATCGAGGAGCTCCATGACGGCATGTGTTACCTGTTCAGAGACGTGACGACACGCGAGCCGACGGACAGGATATGGGTACGACTTGGAGTTCGTTTGAAAGTCCAGCTCTCTTCGTGGTGGCGTACGACAGGTCAGTGGCGCAGCTGGCGAAAGTACAATCAAAGATGGAGTACTCGTGTATCAAGGTGTATTTTGACCCCACGCTCAAGCGCCTCAGGAACAATGACGGATTGGAGGAGGACACCTGCGAGCATTTGGACGAAACCCACCTGAAATTTTTTGATGACCTGCTCACGTTTACGGAAATTGGCGAGTTTGACGACGCTTCCATTTTCCTCGAAGTTGTCAACGGCGAGATCGAACACGGCGGCATGCAGGTGACCGGGAAAAATACCGAGCTCATCTTGATACCGTCGGGGGTGGGCAGCAAGAAGAAGCAGAAACGCATTGGGGCACGCACGAGAGGTATTGCCACGTGGCAAGGCGATGACTGCTTCCCCATCCACCCCAAGCCGACGGTCAAGTACATTGGCGTCCAGCTGGCTGCCACTGGCAGCTACGAGGTTGAGGTGACTCACAGGATCAAGGCACCGAACACGGCCCATGCTCGACTACTACGACGTGCTTTCAGAGGAGGGTTCAGCCCCAAGCTGAAGATCAGATTGTGGGAATCCCTGGTACGCTCAGTCGGCATGTGCTGCCTGGAGGTGGCAAACCTTTCAAAGCGGGAGCTGGCACGACTGGAAGCTTGGCAAGCTCGCAAAGTTCAAAGGCTACTCCACTCACCAGCTCACCTACACAAGAAAATTAACCATGAGATCAGGAAGACGGCCCGTGTCGCCACAGTGGAGAGCACACTACTGAGGAGGCGGCTGAAATGGTGGCGTCAAGTATGGCCAGTGTTTCGTGAGCCCTCAGCGGAATCGTACGAACCTGCCCGTGCAGTGCGTGCCACCATTTTTGACAAACTCTCCTTTGAGAGTGCGACGCCGAAGGAGCCGACGGGCATGCTGGCCCTATTGAAAGAGGACATGCGACATCTGTGGCTGTCTTTCGAGGCCCATGAGCAGTTCGAAACACATTTCTTCTACTGCATGGGGATTTTCCGGAGCTGGCCGAGCCATGGCTGAAGTGGCTGGCCTCCTTGGAACCGCGGAGTTTTCGCCGCGTGCTCACTTTCGGCACCTCTGCCTCTGCGGCTGAACCTCCTGCTGATGTGTGGCTGGACTGTAATGTGTGCGTGTGGGGAAAAGTGCAAAGGAGAGAAGGTGCTCGCCAACCACAAATTTGCGGCTCATCAAGTGTACGCAAATCCGGCGGCGATGGTTGTTACTGATGATGACTTGAAAGGGAAGCGATGCCCCTATTGTGCAAAACATTTCACGGGGGAAAATACACTGGTCATACACATCAGACAAGGCCGATGCGCTGCTCGTGCCGAAGGCGTTGAGGTTCAAAACGTACCGGTAGCAGCACCAGGCATCGAGTCAACGCAAACCCAGCCCAGAGTCGCAGCGGGTGGCCCAGGTAGTCAAGCCGATAGGCAAGGTGCAGGCGGTGTTCAGCGGCCAGAAGATGTTGTCGGCGGCTGTGGGCGGCGCGGGCGAAACAAGGCCGTGGGCAAGGCCGAGGTCGACATAGCAGGTCCGCTCGGCTAGGCGCGGGCGTGGCCGATGCTGCAGCACGCGGACACGGTGAGGGCAGACCACCGCGACGACAAAGACAATTTCGTGATGACGATCAAGCCGATGAGCAATCTGGAGGCGGCGCTGGACCAAGCATTGAAGCACTACGAGGACGAGGGCTGCAAGGCCAAGGAGAAGACCAAGGAGGAGGATATCGCTTACTCGGGCAACCCGCTGCGCCAGCGCCCAGACGTTTTGGCGAAGACGGCGGTCTTCCGCATCGCGGGGGCGGTTGAACGCAAGACAGCGCAGGTGACGGAGGCGGCCGAGCAGGACCTGGACCCAACGGAGGCCAAGGAAGCGCTGGAGGTACAGGTCAACATGGGCAAAAAGGTACTGGACCAAGCGGCCAATTTATTAGCCGCATGGAGCTTCAGGGCGAAGATGGGGCAGCCGTAGGACGACAAGGACGTGGACATGGACAGAGAAGAGGTCAAGTGGATTCTCGCGCTTCACCACTACCCACGGTACAAGCTGGACGTGACGGTGCCATGCGGGCACGGCGCGCTCGCAGCTGCGGGCACCCACCTTGCGCACGACATACTCATGAGGAGCAGGGCCGCGAAGCTGGTGGAGTAGCCAGCTTCCAAGGGCCTGAGCAAACATACAAGAGGGAAGAAGAAGCGGAAGCGGAAGTGAGCGGGGCTGGCAGAGTACAGAGAGTGTCGAATCGAAGTCCCGTCCTTCCCTCCTCGCCCGACCCCTCCTCTCCCGAGACCTCCTCCTGGACAAACGACGGACGCTCTCTAAGCACTTCAGTTTTGGATCTCGAGACCCCGCCCAGTAAATGTTCGTAGTGTGGGGGTCCCGTCTCGTGAGGTCAGTTTGGGGCCGCTTCGTGGAGACAGTGCGCCGCTCTCCACCAGAGGGGAGGGGGGAACCGCCCCGCAGTGCCTCCCCGCAGAGGCTGGGGTGCGCGGGAGTGGGGCTGAGGCACAGCTGCCCACCCGCCTTGCGCCTTCCCTCCCTCAGGGCGCGATCCGTTTTCTAGGTTTGGGAATGTTTTTTTGAGGGTCTGGCGATAACCCGGATTATCGGGCTTGCCCCCCCCCCCCCCCCCAAGGATAACCTAATCTTGCCGGCTGTGCAGGTCCGCGGGAGGGGGGGGCGCGGGCATATGCAGGGCTGCCCACAGTGCGAGGGGTAGGTTATCGGCCGGCCCCCTCCTCCCCCCCACCTCCGGGATACCCTGGTTTATCGCCGATTCCAAACATGAAAACGGTCTCTTGCGCCGCGCTATATAGCGGTTGCTTGAAGTTGTCCCCGCGAAACTTCCTTGGGAATGGGAACGGCGTTCCAAAAAAGGAGAGGCGGCGGAAGGTCGCGTAAGTAAAAAAATGCGCCCCAAAGAGATGACAACATTTGCGGGTTCAGGGTGTCCAGAATCCGCCACATAACCACCGCCTGGCGGATCGATGTTCGTGGACCTCCGAAGGCGGTGGGTATGGATAGATTTGGGTCCCAGGGGCCAGAAAACAACACACATGTGTATATATATATACATACATACATACATACATACATACATACATACATACATATCCACATCCGCCGACCGCTGGGTCCCCAGGGCGTCGGTTCCAAGGCGTTGGATCTGGAATAATATTCGCCTCGCCCTGCGGGGTCTTCGAGCGTATGAGATCGT